CCGCCATCCCTGCTGAAGAAAGAGAACACAAATAGATGGTCCTGATGGGAATGGGAATTGGGAACGTCCCCACTACTGCACATCACACGCTAACCAGCTTGTGACGTAAATAGAAGCATTACGACAGCCTCGGGGGTGGCTATCAGGTGGCTGCTCCGGCCTCCCCCTTCAGGAGACCCCGCTGCCCCATGGGAGCACTGGTGACCTGCAGCCCAGCTCTGCCCCTTCAGCTCCACAGTGATGGTGGTCCTGGGGCCACACTGTCCTTGTGTTGCTTCCAGCCGATCACCGAGCCCGGCAGAGGCACTAGTCCTGGGTGACTCCCGCTTGACCTGGGACCCCTCCACCGGGCCACCCAAGCTTAGGGGCTCCCCAGTGGTCCGGCCAGCAGGTTTTCAGAGCCTCACCGTGCGCTGACTCTCCTCCCACAGAAGGCTTCCTTCCCTCTCTCCTTCCACAGGTGTCCGACCTGCCTCTCCTCTTTATCCCACACCGACATTTGTCCCAAGAAATCTCTCAAATGTCTAATCCTGTCTCAGCGTCTGCTTCTCAGCGTCCCAACCCCCCCACCCCCCACCTCAATGCAACAGGTGGACAGGTGGGTTGGTGTGGATCCCCGGGTTGGCAGAACAGGAACTATCGAGGGTCCCTGGCAACAGGTCAAGTGTGGGGAGCTTGCTGGCTCCTAGCACAAGTGGACTGGCCGTTGTTGGCAGCTGATCTTCGAGAAAAATGACTGCTTTATCTCTTGCTGCAGGCTGGAGCCTTTTTATCTTCTTCCAGAGACGTTCCTGATCTTTTTTTTAAAGAAGATTTTTTTAGAAAGATGGTTTCCTTGAACTTTCCGAGGGAATTCAGAGGATTAATTTTTCAGATGCTCTGCTTACTCTGCCGTTAGCTGGAAGGTTTTTTTTTTTTTTCAACCTAATTTCTTTTTGACAGTCCATAGAGTGCTTTCTCTGACTTCAAAGATTCCCATTTGAAAAGTTGCCATTTGAAGTCTGTCAGTAATTCAAATGTGCCCTTTAGGATGGTCCTCCCGGAGAACACAGATAGCTGAATTGTGTCTCTTTCCCACACATACACCTGGTGCCATCGAGTCAGACAAGCCCCAGCCTCCGTCAGACCACTTTTCTCCCTTTGTTTTTCTTTGGTTTGTTTGGCTCAGCCACATACTGGGGCTGGGTTGGGTTTTACCTTTGAGCATCACTGACTTTTTTTTCTTGGCCGCTTTAGTTGTAGTCATTGAACCACTGGTGATGAAGTAGATTCTTCCATGGAGGACGCCTGAGCGTGACCCAGCCAAAAAACGGACACCTGAGTTCCTCTTTTTTGCAGCCTCGTTGAATTTCTTTAAACACAAACCTATATTTGCTCTTATTCTTGTGGTTCTTGGCTTACTGCTGCTTCTGCTATTGAAGGTGACTTCTCTGAGCCAATCGAGTCTTCCTGTTTGGTGTTGCAACACTTTCCGGTGAGACCGGGATTTGTTTTTTTTTTTTCTGGCCTGCCTTTGTCATCATTTTTGAAATTTCTCTTGCTGGTTCTAAGTTATTCTAGCTATTTTCTGAGATAGGCCTGGGGATATTTTGGCATTTTTAGCCGGGAGGAAGCAGCCTGCCAGCTTGTGTTTCTGACAGGTGTCCTCCAGCGGGAACAGGTGCGCAGGGGGCTCCACACTGCACAACTCCAGGAGGCGCTCTTCGCAGAGACCTCGGGAGCACGAAGCTTTAAATGTGAGGAAATACATTTTCCTACATCTTTTGTGATATAAACCCCTAAGCATAGTTAACACATAAGGAAACCACCGAATCAAGCAACGTATGTTAAATGTTTAACACATAGTTCTCCATGGATGATACAAAAATATAGTCTTTTTTGCTAGCAGTTAGAGAGGGTTTGGGAATGGCATTCTTTTATATATTTTTTAATGTTTATTTATTTTGAGAGAGACAGAGAGAGATTGGGGTAGGGGCAGAGAGAGAGAGAAAGAGAGAGAGAGAATCCCAAGCAGGCTCCCTGCTGTCAGTGTGGAGTCTGACATGGGGCTCGAACTCATGAACTGTGAGATCATGACCTGGGCCTCAATCAAGAGTCAGATGCTTAACTGACTGAGCCACCCAGGTTCCCTGGGAATGGCATTCTATATAGGGTCTCAAAAATACCCAAATCCTTCCTTCCCAAAGGCTTACAAGGGAATTATACTAAGAGACCATAGCAGAATGGGAATTCTCTTACCCATATCTGTGGAGCAAAGAAATAAGTCACACAGATGTTTGTTGTGGAAGTTTTTGTTCCCTAAAACCCCTAGAAAACCTAAATGTTCGTGAGTAGGCTATTAGCTAAATGAGTTGTGGTATCTCCTCACAACAAGAAACAACAGTGCATATTAAGAAGAAAAAGTCAATTCATCGATGTTAACGTGGAACAATTTCCAACAAACATTGCAAAGTGACAAAGCAAAGGTCAGAGCTGTGGGTGTAATATTTTCCAAATTTAAAGAAGCATCATATGTATATATGTATGTATGTATATGTGTGTGTATGCGTGTGTGTGTGTGTGTGTGTGTGTGTGTGTGTGTATGCCTATCTTTGGAAAATTTCTGGAAAAAGTATGCACAGAACTGTTAACCTGGAAAAGACAACTGAGGCCCTGGGGTACAATAGAGGCTTCTGTTTCTTTCTTTTTCTTTTCTTTCTTTTTTTGTATTGTCTGAATATCTTATGGAATGCATGGAATACTTTTTCAATTAAAAAAAAAAAACTACTAGGGTCGCCTGGGTGGCTCAGTCAGTTAAGTGTCTGATTCTTGACTTGGGCTCAGGTCATGATCTCACGGTTCGTGGGTTCAAGCCCCACATTGGTCTCTGTGCTGACAGTGGGGACTCTGCTTGGGATTCTCTGTCTCTCCCTCCCTCTGCTCCTCCCTGACTGGCTCGTGTGCATGTGCGCACACGTTCTCTCTCTCTCTCTCTCTCACTCAAAATAAATACATATACTTAAAAAAACCTAGTAGAACAACACAAGCTCAGCTGATAGCTACATTGGTCGCTAGTACAGGGTTCTTGGTCACAGACTATGTTGGCACCTTCTCCCTGCCACATCGACATTTTGGACCTCAGCCCCTGCTGCCAGGAAGTCACTGAGGGCAGGAGAGTCCTAATGAGTAGTCTGTGGCCCAGAGCGACTGAACTCCCACATGCAGCGACCTTGTGTGCTCCAGGACCTGGCACTCCCAGCGCCTCAGACCAGCCACACCCGCCCATCTGCTCGCGAGGTGGGGGCGGGAGAAAGGAGGGTGGGTGGAATCGGGCTCATATTTGAATTCTCTGTCCACTGGGCTGCACATGCCCTGGCTTTGATCTGCTCCAGGACCACCGTTACGGACCTTTGTGTCCCAACCTCCCTTTCCCAAATTCAAATGCAGAAATCTAACCACCAAGGTGGTGGCATTAGGAGGTGGGGCTTTGGGGGAGGTGATTAAATCCTGAGGGCGGAGCCCTCGTGGGTGGGATCAGTGGTCTTAGAAAAGAGACCCCGAAGAGCCCTCTTGTTCTCTTTCCACCACGTGAGGACACAGAGAGGAGTTGGCAGTCTGCACCCTGGAAGAGGGCCCTCACCCAACTGTGCTGGCACCCTGATCTCGGACTTCCAGCCCCCAGAGCTGTGAGATACAGATTTCTGCTGTTTATAAGCTACACAGCCCACTGAACCAAGGCAGTCACCTACCACGATACAGAAGTCCACAAGGGCATGCACCCGCCCCCCTGCCCCCAATTTGGCCAGCTCTTAAGTGAGACCTGGCCAGGGCCTGCCTTGGACCCTCATCTTTGGCCTGATCGGAAGCCCTGACTTGGGATCTTCTGTCTGTTGGCAACCAGCTTCCCCGTGCAGCCACACTGCAGCCTGGTCCTCTTGTCCTTGAGACCAGCTCTAATTGTCCACCTGTGTAAAAGCCTTTCTTTGCCCCGTGGAGAACTCAAGCCATCACATTCCCTCTGGGAATGTCCTTTCTTCCTTGTCTCTCCATTTTCTGTCTGGTTTTCTCCTTGATGTAACAAGGGGCTGCAGCACATCTAGACTTTATGTCTTTCCAACGTCAAGTCCCACTGAGAGAGAGCCCCAACTCCCTTCCTAGAAACCCAAGTAAGAGTTACTGTTGCTTTTTGTCCTCTCTGGGTGGGTCAAATGTCTATCCCTGAACCAATGAACAACTAGTCACCGTGTCTGTGACCAGCCCTTCGGGCAGGGGTGGGGTCAACTCTGTCCAGCCTTCTGGGATGCGGGTGGCGGGAAGCAGACAGACAGCATGCAAAGAGGGTCTGGGTCCCCGAAACAGCATTTGAGTTCCCGGTCAAGCTGTAGCTCGTCAGCCCTGCCCTAGTTCTCATGTTCTCAGCTGTGTGAAATTCTCGCTTTGCTTAAGCCAGTTTGGGTCAGGTTTATGTCATTGTTACTATTTTCTTCTTCTTCTTTTTAAATGTTTCTTGATTTTTGAAAGAGAGAGAGTGAGCAGGGGAGGTGCAGAGAGTGGGGCCGGGGGAGGGGTGGGGTGCAGAGGATCCAAAGCCGGCTCCGCACTGATAGCAGAGAGCCTGATATGGGGCTGGAACTCACAAACCGTGAGAGATCACGATCTGAGATGAAGTGGGGCACTCATCCAACTGAGCCACCCAGGCATCCTGGTGATTACTACTTTCAACAGAAAGAGTTCCGATTGAAGAAAAGGACAGATGTTCACACACAATTCCATTTTTGTAAAAGAAAAAAGGGACACACACGTGTGCATGTGTGTGCGCGAGTGTGAGAGAGTCTGGAATGATACACAGCAAAAGGTAATAGTGGTTATACCTGGGCAGCTGGATTAGAGGCAATGTTTTCTTGCATTTTCTAATTGTTACTTAATGGGCACGAATGGCGGTGGGACAAAGTCACTTGGATCCATCACTTGTAGAGAGCGAGAGGAACTTCGTCTAATCTGCTGTTGGTGTTGTAGGAAAGAACATGAGTCAGCAACTAAACAGAAGCCGGAGCTGCTCCTTCAGCGATGTGGATGAGCTGATGAAGACGGTGCAGCTGACGGTCCACATCCCCACCTTCCTCCTGGGCCTCCTCCTCAACGTGCTGGCCATCCGAGGCTTTAGCACCTTCCTGAAGAAGAGGTGGCCAAATTATGCTGCCACTTCCATCTACATGATCAACCTGGCAGTCTTTGACCTGCTGCTGGTGCTGTCCCTTCCATTCAAGATGGCGATGTCCAATGTATGGGCTCCCCATCCTTCCGTCTGTACCTTCGTGGAGTGCTTCTACTTCGTTAGCATGTACGGGAGTGTCTTCACTATCTGCTTCATCAGTCTGGATAGATTCTTGGTCATCCGGTACCCGTTCCTGGTCAGCCACCTCCGGTCCCCCAGGAAGATCTTTGGGATCTGTTGCACCATCTGGGTCCTCGTGTGGGCGGGGAGTATTCCCATCTACAGCTTCCACGGGAAGGTGGAAAAGTACACATGCTTCCACAACATGTCTGATGGCACCTGGAGTCCCCAGGTCTTCTTCCCCCTTGAGGTGTTCGGCTTCCTTCTTCCCCTGGGTGTCATGGGTTTCTGTTCCTCCAGGAGCATTCACATCCTGGTCTGCCGTCAGGGCCTCACCGAGGACTGGGTCCAGCAGAAGGCCTGCATCTGGACAATTGCAGCCAGCCTGGCTGTCTTCGTGGTCTCCTTTCTTCCGGTCCATTTGGGCTTCTTCTTGCAGTTCCTGGTACGGAATGGCTTTATTGTGGAGTGTAGAGCTAAGCAGAACATCAGCTTTTTCTTGCAATTGTCCATGTGTTTCTCCAACATCAACTGCTGCCTAGATGTCTTCTGCTACTATTTTGTCATCAAAGAATTCCGCACGGACATCATGGCCCACCGGCCTTCCAGGGTCCAGCTCGTCCGCCAGGATACCATGACCAGCAGGATCTAAGGAAGGAAAGACCTACACAGAAGAAGGAACCCCCGGCCCCAAATCCCAGTAGCAGATACTGCGTTCTGACGTTTCTGATGTGGTGGACCGATGTGGCACATTTGCTGGTGTGCTTTCCCTTGTGATGCCCATTGAACACTGTCTTTGCTCATTATGCTCCAAAGAGCTTTCCCCAGCATGCAGACAACTGGACATGAATCACCCAGTATTTGGGAATCTCTGAAGGACCCGAGAAACGGGTGAATTCTTTATTTCTAAGCTCAAAAACATGAGGCAGAAGAATTGAGAAAGAGGAGACCATCGGAGCAAGGCTGTTTCCCAGCTCTTCCCCATCCGTCTGTTAGACTAGAAGGTTCTGGAAAGGAAGAGAGACGAGTTAGGAGAGAGACCCGAGAGGGTTGGTCATGGTGGGAAACGCTCTGGGAACAGACGGAGCAGGAGGAATGTAGCAAGCTCCTTTCTAGTTTGGGGATCCCAGGGTAGAGCAGATTTGTACCTCCCCATCCTTTCTGGGGCTCTGTTGGCCAATAACCTCACAGAGATGATAGCAAGTGGGGGTGAGGGGGCAGAGAAAGAACCTACAGAGAGCCCCAAGTTTCCTATGGGAAAGAAGGGCCTGGGAAGCCAGCCAAAGCTTCCCGTGTCCTCCCCAAGGCTGCAGAAGGATGAGGGGAGCCGGTGTGAACCAGGTCATGGTGAAGCTATGGACGCTTTGTGGAAGAATTGGGGACAGAGTGGAAAGGCACTGGTGACACCTGAGAGCCACAAGGGGATTGGATACACCTGGGGAAGGAAGGTGACAGGCCAAGGACCCCCTGTTGCCATCATGATGTAGCCTAGAAGAGGCTGATCTAAGGATGCAGGCTTGATTTGGTTCAGCCAGAGGAGAATAAGGAACATGTGTTTGTCTTGCCCACCTGAATCCTGCCAGGACGGCTGGCTCGGAGCCACTATCCACAGAACTGTCCCTCTCCAGTGGCCGGGAGGGGGCAAATGAGCCAGCCAGGAATGGGAGGAATCATCTCGATGGCATGGAGCCCCTGGCAGTTCCTACTCGAAGACCAAACAACCGCCTCCCGGTTTGGACCGGGCTTCTCTCTCCAGTGGCCCTGAGGAGGAGGAGCGGTGGCGGCTGTGAGCCTTGCGAGGACACAGCCGCCGCTCCAGAGAGCAAAATGACTAGAAGGATGGGTTGTGGGGTGGTTTTGCGAGGCGGAGTGAGTGGGACGAGATGTAAGGGATGAGACCTAATGTGAGAAAGGGGGAGGTCTTTAGGAAGAAAAGAACCACTTTCTACTTGGAGGGAAAGGGGCTTCCACTGCCAAAGGGTGGATGGAAGGTAGGTGGCTTGTGGCCGAAGAGGGCGATTTCGATAACCCTGCCAGGAGGCGGGGGCGGAGGCTGGGTGATTACCGAGGTGAGGCCCGAAGCCACAGGGCTCTGTGAAGGGGTGGGGTAGCGGCGGGGGGTGGTGGAGAGGAAG